AATTCTTACTGGTTGGTAGGTGATCAAATACTTATGTCATGCAATAAAATGCAAATGTATTACTTAAAAATCATAAAATGTGATTTTCTGGATTTTTGTTTTAGATTCCGTCTCTCACAGTTGAAGTGTACCTATGATAAAAATTACAGACCTCTACATGCTTTGTAAGTAGGAAAACCTGCAAAATCGGCAGTGTATCAAATACTTGTTCTCCCCACTGTATATACCTCTATCACTCCAGTATCCCTGCACATTGTAAATATGGTATTGGAACTGACCCTGTATATAGGTTACTTTCTCGTGTTCTTCTTCTTATTTTTATTTATTGTGTGTTTCTGTTCAACCTTATGTTATTTTTAGTACTACTTTTATATTGATTACTGCATTGTTGGGCTTAACACTTGCAAGAAAGGCATTTCACTGTACTTGTGCACATGACATTAAAACTTGAAACCTGAAACTTGAAATGAGCAAGATTTACTACATTGAAATTAGGACTGGGATTGGTGTGTTTTACGTTGTTTTACTCTGAGCCAAAAACCAACTGGAAAATGGACTTTATGCCCACGTTACCCTTTGAAACAGCTATGTCCATACAAGTTACATCTGTCTACTTTCAGTAGAGGTAGTAGCACATGACTTCCATTTAGTGGATTTAAAAGCGTATAGCAAAGGGGTATTCTGTAGATACACTACAATTCAGCCATATTTGACATTTGAACCAGGATTAGGGCCATACTAAAAATTAAAATAAATCACATAAAGCCTATTATTTGGCAGGGAATACTATTTGTAGATCAGTGATTCTACACCTCACTTTGTTTAAGCTGATCCTCGCCAACGGACTCAGAAGTTTTACCCACAGAACAGCCTCAATTCGTTGGGCCATGGACTCTACAAGGTGTCAAAAGCATTCCACAGGGATGATAGCCCATGTTGACTCCAATGCTTCCCACAGTTGTGTCAAGTTGGGTGGACGTCCTTTGTGTGGTGGACCATTCTTGATACACACAGGAAACTGTTGCGCATGAAAACCCCAGCCTGGCACCTACTACCATACCCCGTTCAAAGGCACTTAAATATTTTGTCTTGTCCATTCACCCTCTGAATGGCACACATACACAATCCATGTCTGTTGTCTCAAGGCTTAAAAATCCTTCTTTAACCTGTCTCCTCCCCTTCATCTACACGGATTCAAGTGGATTTAACAAGTGGCATCAATAAGGGATCATAGCTTTCACCTGGTCATCTATGTCATGGAAAGAGTAGGTGTTTCTAATGTTTTCTGCACTGAGTGTATATTGTAGCGAATTCAGAGGTTAGCCTCGACTCGAACCCGGATCCAGCGCCCATCATTCCAGGATGTCACAGTCATTCAAGGGTGGAATGTTCTCAATTATCCATATGTTTTAAATGTATTTCTATGGTAAGTCAGTGGCGGTCTTAACTGATACAGCAACGGAACACATGGCTAGCATGAATGGCTTGTTTAAAATAGAAGTGTGTGTGTTTGATCTCCACCGGTTATTGTGCACCATGAAAACTATAAATATATGGTTACATGCCTCAATCCAAATAGTAATATCAGGAAGGAATTACAATGTATTAGTGCTACCATCGTGTGGCCAGAACAAGGCAACTGTTAACCATGCATCCTTGTGAAATAAAATGGCCTTGTATGATCTATTAATAAGGCTGTCATAAATACACTGGAGTCTTAAGTGATTTCAATGGGTTAATAAATGATGATTTATCCATTCCCAGGATAAATAAGAAAATGCTTTGACAGGAATCTACAAACAAATTTTCCACACGTCAACAATGGCACTGTCGGATAGTGGACTGAAGGTAAAAGTTGCCTGTCTATCTTACATTTGGTGGCAGCTGTGGGATAAACGTTAATGTCCAGGTGGAACGATTAGAAGGGAAGGTGCACATTCTGTAAGGAAAGACACTCCTGGTGGTGCTGACATAAATCCACATAATCACAGGCACATAGAAAGTTAAACATGACAGGCGGACTCATTTTGTAATCAACATGTTTATTGGTTTTAACCAAATGGACTGGCGGCTAGCTACAATGGTAGAAGTAAGCAAGAAGCGTGGCGGATTGACATTCAGTGAAAAGGATAGAAGAAAGTAATTAGTATTTTACTCCCCATAAAATAATCTGGATTTTAAGTCCACTGTGAATTGAAAAGGTGGTGAGGATCTGGCTATGACCCCCCAAAAAATAGAATCCTTTTGACAGCATTAGGTTTTGAAAGTTGAAATGTAAAAGGGAAAAATGATGAAAGATCCAGAATCATGGAGCAGGTCAGTCAGCATACAAAGTTGTCTATGAATGAGTGACGGTCTAGCAGTTGAAAGGGAATCCTGGAGTAAAGGTCTGGGCCATACTCAGTACAGACTTACAGCAGTTCTAAGGCCTGGTTCTGAAGCGCACCTGTGTGTTGTGGTTTAGTTAATTAATGACTTATGGAGTTCGAAAGACCTGATGATTGAATGCATATATGGATTTCACCAAACAAGGGCCACAATATTGCAACAACGAATTAATGACATATCCAAAAAACATCCAATCATAAAAAACTGAATACACAGGGGTCCCCCACAATCACAATTACAAAACATACATAAGGGAGGGACCAATAAATGTGAAAAAAAAGGGGCTCCCCGAAAAGAATATCACATATTGCATTTCAAATATCAACATAAGGGTTATATTCTTACAACGACAACACAAAATAATAAAACATTTGGTTTAGCAGCCAAAATCATAGGACAATACTCACAGGTCTCACTCAGTTTCAGTTCAAAAGGTTTGAAGGGCAAGTCACTCACACCAAAATATTAAGCTACACACAGTTACACATACTCAAAGTATGTCCCACAAATCAGAATTGTGACACAACCATGTACCCAAAGACAGAGCTCTTTGGCACAGTGTTGAAGTGTTCTGTTTTCACAGGTGCCCCAATATCACAATAACCTGGACACCATCTTGTTGGACATTGGCCACAAGGCTGATGTCCTTTTCACTACATGGTCACCATTAAAGCACCATAAGAGATGATGACATGAGATTGCAAATGTCTAGACCAGGGTTTCCCAAACTCGGTCCTGGGGCCAACATTTTGGTTTTCGCCCTAGCACTACACAGCTGATGCAAATAACCAACTCATCATCAAGCTCAATTGGTAGAGCATGGCGCTTGTAACGCCAGGGTAGTGGGTTCGATCCCCGGGACCACCCATACGTAAAAAAAATTATGCACACGACTAAGTCACTTTGGATAAAAGCGTCTGCTAAATGGCATATTATTATTATTATTATTATTATGATTTGAATCAGCTATGTAGTGCTAGGGCAAAAACCAATATGTGCACCAGGGGGGATTGGGGGCCAGGACCGAGTTTGGGAAACCCTGGGCTAGACCAATGAACTGTGCAAGAAATTAATATATTTTAAAGAAAGACGAGTGATAAGAACCCTCATATTCAAATCTGAACCTTGAAGCCACTTCCACTGCTTTTTTTTCTCTTTTCATTCTTCCCTTATAAATCAGGGACTGATTTAAACCTGGGACACCAGCTAGGTGCAATTAATTAGGTGCAATTAATAGAACTGAAAACTAGAGGTACTCCAGACCTCCAGGGTAGGATTGAATGCCCCTGCCATAGAACATAGTCCTTCCAAGTCCTCTTTCAGACCTGAAAGTATTGTGCTCCTTCAAACATGTCACTGGTTAATACCAACATTGTCACAAAAACATCCAGGAATGTTTCTTGCTTTTAACAATGCACATTTCATTTTGGGGTACTTTCTGAAATATAGATTTCCCTTAACTATTTACATGTGGGAATTGGCCTATATGGATAGGGATACATTGTAATGTTTCTTATAGAAGGAATATGAAAATGTATATGCATAAGCATGGTAGCAATTGAAAGGGAACAGTTTGGAGATTATGGGAGAATTACTAGACCAAAGTTGAGGACAACAGTTCACCTAAAATCCAAACATTACACTGTTGATTTTATGTGTATTTTAAATTTACTGTATCTTTCTCCGCATTTGTTGATAACGAAATCTGAAAACACTAAGTAAGGGAGGGATGGGGGCAACTTCTTATCGGTGTTCAAGTTCAGAACGGCTGTCAGTCAAACCCCATACAGAGCTGTGAAGCGCAGAGCCTGAGCTCTGACGTCATTTATAGCATGTTACAGTAGAGCCACTGCGTTCCAATTTAGACGCTTATCAGTGCCCAAATCTGCCATTTTCAACCCATATACAGGTACGAGTGAAAACGGTTAAGACAGGTTTGCAAAGTGGTTTTGTTTTCTTGTATTTGTGTTTATGTAAAAAAAAAAAAGACATTCAATCAAAATAGGGAATTCTGTGGGATCTAAGTGTCATTGAAGACGCATTATTTGGTCACCTCCCATGTACAGGTAGCATGCAACATGTTATACAGCGTTAAAGCGATAGTTTTGCTAGTGATCTAGGCAAAGTTAAATATCTTAAAAGTGCAACACACCATGAGTAAGAAAATACATCGCCTGTTTCAAAGTCAGGCCGAGGAAAGGGGAAAAAAAGCAAGTACAATTACTATTATGTATACACCTTAAAGCCAATAACACATGTTTTATAACACACAACAACATAGCAAAAAGCTATCAAATCTTCTAACACCAATGACCCTCAAAACTAAAAACGTATGAATTATGAATGTGATGTTTACTAGATTTCCCCGAAATTGTGTTGTTTTTGTATTCATTTGCTTATGTTCAGATTCTTGTTAAGACACCGTCAGGCATGTGTACTCTCTAAACTGTAATGCATTTGACACCTAGCAGCCAGACATAATTGCCCCCCCCCCCCAAAAAAAAAGGAAATTATACATCCAAAACTAATTTCCTCTTGAGCCTTGAATTTCTCATCACTATTGATTTGACAACAATTTCAATCCTGGGATATACAATATCCCCAACTGGCAAGCAAGGTTTTTTGCCTTTCAATATATATATATTGTATAGCAAGTACAATTTCTATTTAGGTCTTAACACATTCCAGTTACTTAAACATCAGAAACCTATCATTCAAAGATGAGCTAATTACTGTATGTTGACGGCCAAAATTCCATGGAGAAGAACCAAGGGTCCTTGGTCATCCTCGGAGGCTTGATGTTAAGCACTGTCCATCACAGGCTGAAAAGAAAGCATGGAGAAAATGTTACATTGCATCAGTAATTTTCATGTTTTAAATAATGTTGGATATGAACCAAACAACACCAACTATTCAAAGTTAAGTGGATAAGGTGTGAGTTTGTCGAAAGCCTCATTGCCAGTGCAGTACTATACACTATATATTGATGACCTATCCCGTGTAGAACAGCAAAGTGCTTCATTTGATGAATTTCGTTCGTTCAAGCACAGATGATTATCAACCAAAATAACAGGCCACATTAGCTACAAGGCTTTTAGAATACTCACTCTGGGTCAGGCCCTGATGTATGAACAAATGAATAGATCTTCTCCGAACAGGAGATTAGTGTAAAACATATAGTGAAGGGTAAAAAAAAAAAAGGTTGTTTAAATATCTGTGTAACTCAACAGCCAAAAGACAGCTTCCCTCACCTTCTCTGATGTTAGTTGGCCCTCGGTCGGTGGTTTTGCATGGCCCTCTGGCTTTGATTCGCCCACAGAAGACAGTGCACTGGGCTTATGCCCTGCCTTGTCATTAAGCTTCAGCTTCAGGTCGGTGTCAGACTTCTTACTATCAACCTTCGAATCACCTTTGCCCTCTGTGTCCTTAGGTCGTTTAGGAGAGCTCTTCGGGGAGAGAGAAAGACACATCACCCTTATTCAAGTGCCATGTTTCTGGCAAACATACGATTGCTTATTTTCGTTAGCGTTTTTTTTCCTTTTCTGTTTCAAATAACCGCTTAAAAACCTTTAAAAATGCCATGCAAGGATAGTTTCATTATGACAAGCAAAGTGACCCACACCTGCCACTTTTCTACTGAATATTCAGTAGCACTTTATAATAACACCTTGTAATAAAGCATTTAATAATTTATTAATCATTACTCCCACATGTGTTAATGTTAGTAAGCTAGTTATTCACACATGTATAAACAACGTTTAAAGTAATAATGATCCATAAAATAATTTATAAGACGTTTAATATAGGTCCTTATAAACCATTTACTAATCATTTATACTTTATGAATGTTTTGAGTGAACCAGTGTAATTTCTCACAAATATTAATTCATTGGTAGACATTCCAGCAGTATCTGATGCTCCTTAAGGTCTCAAAATAACCTAGAACATATCAATGGTAAAAGAATAAGCCCACAACACAGGATGTTGAAGGAAATATATAGAAGATTGTTTGTAAATGAGGAAGTGTTGTAATGCAAATGTTCTGCTAAATGTCAACCTCACAAACGTGAACTAATCATAAAACAGGGAGATGTAGCCTACACACAACAGCTAGCTAGACCAGCCAGTTTTTCTCTAGAGGATTTTTATTTCTTCATTACAACTGATATGTGATTGAGGTAGAAATGTTACATGTATGATTTGCAAGTAGAAATGCTACATGTATAACCTTTAAATGCTTCCAGTGCTTCAGTCTTTTAAACGCAGACTATTTTCACACTTTGATTGGCTTCACTTTTACTACATTTACATTTTAGTCATTAAGCAGACGCTCTTATCCAGAGCGACTTACAGTTAGTGAATACATATATTATTTAAAAAAATTATACTGGCCCCCTGTGGGAATCGAACCCACAACCCTGGCGTTGCAAACGCCATGCTCTATCAACTGAGCTACATCCCTGCCGGCCATTCCCTCCCCTACCCTGGACGACGCTGGGCCAATTGTGCGCCGCCCATGAGTCTCCCGGTCGCGGCCGGCTGTGACAGAGCCTGGATTCGAACCAGGATCTCTAGTGGCACAGTTAGCACTGCGATGCAGTGCCTTAGACCACTGCGCCACTCAGGAGACAACTAGACCTTTAAAGGTAGTAACTTTAACATAATGGGATAGTTAAGCGAAATTATATACGGTATTCAGGTATTTGTTTTCTTACCACGTAAGCAGTCTATGGACTGCAATCCACACTTTGGTTTTATTATAAATTCATTGTTAAGAACAGGGTAATGTTTCTGTTTTCAGACGAAACTGTTGCTTTACTCAGTATAGAGCGCGTCTGAAGTTACACATCGCACTATTCCAACAGTGTGACTGTTTTGGAATCCAATGTTAAATAGATTTCCTTAAACATCCTCTGTAGTGTATGATTGTTTAACCAATTATATGTTCTAGGCCATTTTGAAACCTTAATGCCGGAATCCTTAATGGTGAAACTGCCATGTCCGTTTGCAATATTACAGCAAAGAAGTTACTACAAACATTAAACAGTTTATTTCCCCCTCGGACATCATTGCACGCGCGACAGAACAGCAGAATATGTTCTGCACATTTTCTTTCCACGTTGCGCGACGCTCCTCACCTCCGCTTTATAATAATAATAATAATAAACAGTGGCACTATTTCCTCTACTGCAGATTCCGTCTTTAAGGAGCATCGGGTACAGCTGGAATGTCTACCAATGGCATGTCCATTTTTTTATGAGAATGTACACTGTTCACTCAAGAAATTATGAATAATTATTACATACTTAAAAGGTTGTTTATAAATTTGTGAATAACTAGCTTACTAACATTTACAAATGTGGAAGTAATTATGAATACATTATGAATAAACTATATACTTTCTTACAAGTTATTATAAAGTGCTACCGAATATTCCTATGGAATATGTAATGCAGCTTAAAGCAGAACATGTTCACGCCGTTGCCTGTGAGGCAGTTCTTCATCAATACCAGCATTCAATGTTCCCTAAAAAAAAATTAGGCACTGAGCAAATTTCAGGTCTTATGAGCGGAATCTTGAACACTGTGAGCATTTTGTGCAACTTCCAGCACTCTTTTACTGTGAACACGGAGGCTGTGCACACTTTCAGTTAGTTTTAGAAAGTGGCCAAGTAGGCTACTGAAGCTATTTGGAGCCTATTAGGACTTTCAGAGTGGCCTACAAACAAAAACAATGGATCAAAAGCATCGCATAACATTTTCTGATGAAAATAGCTATTGATTGAGCTATGATATAGCCTACAGTAGCCTATGGTGTTCAATGTAGGCCTGTATTCCATGAGACTTTTAAAAAAACATTATGCTTGCTTAACATTAACCTTCGGTTTTGTATTTGTCTGAAAGCTTAAGTCACTTATCAGAAAACAGAAAAAATGGTCTGTAAACAGTCAACACCATGGGCCAAATATGTGACTGGAAATTGTATTGTATTGTGCTGTATGGTGCAAGAAAATACTTCACAAAATAGAAGTATCATTATTATTACCATACAGAGAATTAGAAAAACATTGGCTACCCTCTGCCTATTGGCTTCTTTGTATATTCAAGCCTGTCTCAAAACACACTACTGCCCCTTTAACACAAAAAGCAAGCTCTTTACCCGACTTGCTTTTCAAAGATGGCTAGAAACGTACAGGGTTTGTGCTCTTGTAGGAAGCAATCACTCCCCTATTGCTGACCAAATATTAGCTATAACCTGCCTAATAACTTGCCAACTACCAAAGAATATGAAAACATTTGCACACACGACTCTGCTCTTTGATCTCAAAAGCACTTCTATTCCGACCACGGGTGATTGAAAGACTGCTTGTGCCTGTCAATACAATAGAATGTTATTATGATACGCTCTGCCTACAACAAAATCACTGACAATCTTGCCAAGTTAGGTTTGTTGTATTGAAAAAGGCTGATATGTTCATTTGATCACAATTCCCACACTACTGTAGAAGGAAACATTGATCTGTTTCAGGAGAGATCATGTAAACTAACAGGGCAACTAAAGTTCAATAAAGTTATATTTTGTGCATCAGCATCTCTGCACAGGCTGGCATTTCTTCTTCATGGCAGTCCTGAAGGAGCTTAGAGGGAACATTGCCACAAACTGCTACCTACAATAGTGGCCATATCGCCAATTGACTTTCTTTGTAAATGCTCAGCCATTTGAATGCCCAATCAATTGAAATTGGCAAAACAAACAAATACAGTAGCGATATGGTGTATGTTTCTACTTGTTAGACTGACTTGACTTGTGACTGTTTGACACTTACCTCGCCGGAACCCCCAGCTTTCCTCTTGGCCCCTCCCTTGTCATTCTTCTCGTCGATGACGAGGGTTCCTTCGTCCTCATCACTGCTTCCTTCTGCATCCCCCTTTCGTCCCCCTCCTGCCTCCACCGCCCCCTCTGTTGGGGTCTCCTTCTTTGCTGACTGGGGGAGAAAGAACAGAATTAAGGCTGGAAAACGTGGTGAACTACTCCCAATGCACATCTGTATTTGCTGAGGTTGAGTATAGGTAAATGTGTATTTGGGAGTACTTTTCATAATTGAGGATGAAGTAGTAGGATTGTGGTGTTCCCAGAATAGCAAAGAGAAACATTGTGTGGTGTGCGTCTTAATATTTGCTAAAATCATACGCCATCATGTGTCACACAGGAACAAAGGCTCACGCACGTCAGCAGGCACACAAACAGACACGCCCCTTTCCTAAGCACACACCTCATAGCCTGCGGGTTCGTGTATCACTGTAGGGTTGTTCTCAATTTCCCAGAGACCCTCGCTGAAGCCTTTCCTCTTGGTGGGCTTGCCAAACTTCTCCTTGCCCTCCTCATAGGGGAACAAGTCCTTGGGACCCAGGAATGCCCTGAGAGGGCAAAGGTTAGAAAGTTCAAAGGTTGACGCATGCAACCACCTACAGAGCTTCAAAATACTGTTCTATGGAACTACCAGGTAAAAGGCTAATGTGTCATTCCAAATGAACCGCCTAATGCACTCGTGGAGATCTGGGGAAATTTGATAGATGTAAGGAACAATATGTTGGTAGCTCCAACTTGTTCTCCGATAGGTATAAGTAATATGGTGAAAATACAGACTAGCCTATCAAAGCCTCTCATATCTCCAAAAGTGTATAGAAGGTAGGGGCTAGGTGTTCATTTGGAATTGGGCAAGACTAGGTGAAAGGATTAAACGCATCAAAAACAATATTTACTTACGTCTCATGTGTCCCAAAGAAGAACACTTGGTACTTGTTGGAGGGGGACTTGACCACTCCTTCGGGTAACTCGTTAATCTGCGGAAGAAGGAAACAGTGAGTGTAATTGTTAGTGAGTGCTTCATCAAACTAAACAACTAGGGGCAAAAACTTCAACAAAAAGCGCAAAAGATGGAGATTTATTAATTGCAGGAGCTACCGCAAACAATGGAAGTACATATAAAATATTTTGTTTGGCTACTGAAACAAATAAAAAAGAGACAGACTAGCGTAAACAAAAAGGCCAGTGCTGCTTTAAGAATTAGGTAACTAAAAATGTACTTCACACTCTCACTTCAGAGGCCAGGTTTCAAGTGCTTTAATGACTGACACACACAGTTTAGTTTTCTCACTCAAATACACACATAGTGTAAATGACTGCCTTTTAGAGTTATGTGAAAATGGTGTCTCCCCCCCCCCAAAGGCAAATATTGGGCACTGAACCCAGTGGCAAATTAAGGAGTCTCTTCACCAACCCCCCCTCACCCAATTTGAGCTGAACAACAAAAACAGACAGACCTGTGTGTGCATGTTTGGCATTATGGGCTAGTTTTGAGAACAGTAAAGATTTTTTGTTTTGTATTGCGTGCTGTGAATGTGTATGCACATCTGGGAAAATGCACAGATGTACTGATAACCCAACGCTTACAGTTGAAGTCGGAAGTTTACATACACCTTAGCCAAATACATTTAAACTCAGTTTTTCACAATTCCTGACATTTAATCCTAGTAAAGATTCCCTGTCTTAGGTCAGTTAGGATCACCACTTTATTTTAAGAATGTGAAATGTCACAGAATAATAGAGAGAATGATTTATTTCAGCTTCTATTTCTTTCATCACATTCCCAGTGGGTCAGAAGTTTACATACACTCAATTAGTATTTGGTAGCATTGCCTTTAAATTGTTTAACTTGGGTCAAACGTTTCTGGTAGCCTTCCACAATCTTCCCACAATAAGTTGGGTAAATTTTGGCCCATTCCTCCTGACAGAGCTGGTTTAACTGAGTAAGGTTTGTAGGCCTCCTTGCTCGCACACGCTTTTTCAGTTCTGCCCACAAATGTTCTATAGGATTGATGTCAGGGCTTTGTGATGGCCGCTCCAATACCTTGACTTTGTTGTCCTTAAGCCATTTTGCCACAACTTTGGAAGTATGCATGGGGTCATTGTCCATTTGGAAGACCCATTTGCAACCAACTTCCTGACTGATGTCTTGAGATTTTGCTTCAATATATCCACATAATTTTCCTTCCTCATGATGCCATCTATTTTGTGAAGTGCACCAGTCCCTCCTGCAGCAAAGCACCCCCACAGCATGATGCTGCCACCCCCGTGCTTCACGGTTGGGATGATGTTCTTCGGCTTGCAAGCTACCCCCTTATTCCTCCAAACATTATGATGGTCATTATGGCCAAACAGTTCTATTTTTGTTTCATCAGACCAGAGGACATTTCTCCAGAAAGTAAGATCTTTGTCCCCATGTGCAGTTGCAAACTGTAGTCTGTCTTTTTTATGGCAGTTTTGGAGCAGTTGCTTCGTCCTTGCTGAGCGGCCTTTCAGGTTATGTCAATATAGGACTCATTTTACTGTGGATATAGATCCTTTTGTACCCGTTTCCTCCAGCTCTTCACAAGGTCCTTTGCTGTTATTCTGGGATTGATTTGCACTTTTCGCACTAAAGTATGTTCATCTCTAGGAGACAGAACGCGTCTCCTTCCTGAGCGGTATGACGGCTGCGTGGTCCCATGGTGTTTATACTTGCGTACTATTGTTTGTTTGTAAGTCGCTCTGGATAAGAGCGTCTGCTAAATGACTTAAATGTAAATGTAAATTAACGTGGTACCTTCAGGCATTTGGAAATTGCTCCCAAGGATGAACCAGACTTGTGGAGGTCTACAATTATTTTTCTGAGGTCTTGGCTGATTTATTTTGATTTTCCTATGATGTCAAGCAAAGATCCACTGAGTTTGAAGGTAGGCCTTGAAATACATCCACAGGTACACCTCCAATTGACTCAAATGATGTCAATTAGCCTATCAGAAGCTTCTAAAGCCATGACATCATTTTCTGGAATTTTCCAAGCTGTTTAAAGGCACAGTCAACTTAGTGTATGTATACTTCTGACCCACTGGAATTGTGATACAGTGAATTATAAGTGAAATAATCTGTCTGTAAACAATTGTTGGAAAAATGACTTGTGTCATGCACAAAGTAGATATCCTAACCGACTTGCCAAAACTATAGTTTGTTAACAAGAAATGTGTGGAGTGTTTGAAAAACAAGTTAATGACTCCAACCTAAGTGTATGTAAACTTCCGACTTCAACTGTGTGTGTAGTGAGTTTTCTGCATGCTCACATTGACATTCTTTGGTGTAGTTGCACATTTGCAGGTGCCCTACTTGAACACACACACACACACAGAAATAGAATTCCAAATTCTAAGAATTAATATTTCAGAAGTAGGCCTAAATTAGTACTACTTTTATCTATAATTACATTTATATGCTCACACACCTGCTTTTATCCAAAACTATGTAAGATCAAAGGATTATAATTGTTTACATGGAATGTATCCACAGGCACACTCAAGATACAATTCTGATGAGCACATGATACAATACTCCTGTTGTAATCTAAGGGGGAAAAGAGATGCCTTTATGTCAAACATGTAAGAGAAAACATGGCTACTTCGCCCAAACAGTATAGCCATTGAGTAAGAAAATAAGCATTGGCATGTTCAACAAGGTATTCTGCAGGACTTGAACCCAAAGGTTTCTAACTCCACTCTCCAACCTACTGAGCCATATGAACTTTACATTATTGCTTGATACTCCTGCAGTGGTGGAAAAAGTACCCAATTGTAACACTATAAAAGTAAAGATACCTTAATAGAAAATGACTCAAGTAAAAGTGGAACTCACCCAGTAAAATACTACAAGTAAAAAGTATTTGGTTTTAAATATACTTACGTATCAAAAGTAAATGTAATTGCTAAAATATACTTAAGTATCAAAGGTAAAAGTATAAATCATTTATAATTCCTTATATTAAGCAAACCAGATGGCACGATTTTTATTTTTATTTATGGATAGCCAGGGACACACTCCAACAAAATTTAGGCTACCTTGTGTTTTCAGATCAAGGAGAGGAGATTTAGACTACAGAGGATTGAGAGGTACCCATGATCTTTCTCTGAGGAAGAGGGTCTGGGTCCAGATTCTCCAGTCTCCTCCCCAAGTGTTCACTTGCACACTCCACATCGTGGATTTAACAATGATGGAAACTCCATCCAGCCAATGCTAACGCCAATCCAAGACAGGGAGTGTGCAAGTGCACACTTTGGAAGAAGAGTGGAGAATCTGGACACAGCTAGGGTGTGTTGTACAGGAAGCCCTGTGACAACGGTTGGGCCCTGTGTCACCATGCCCGTCGGACTGCCTGCCTTGCTGTGACACCTTGCTTCCTGACAGCCGTCATGCCAAAGGGGCCCTATAGGTGTGCCCAGATAGTGCCCGTTGTGTGTGTTTGATGGGGCGGGGTGTTGACTGTCGGCAGTCTGGTAAAGGCAAGGAGGGAGGGATAGTGGGAGGAGAGACAGACAGAAAACAAGAGGGGGGGGGGGGGGGGGGGGTATATGCATTGTTCAAGAGATCTGACCAGCCATGTCCTGTATCTATGGTTACCATAGGCTGATAGCAGAAAGGTCATTATGGCTATCACTGTATATTTTACCCATTAAACTGCCCCCAAACTGAACGATAGCCTCTTAATAGCCACTTCTCTGTTCCATTTCTATTGAATTGCCTGAACTTAATGGGAGTTCTGTAGTAGGCTAAGGTCACATTTCAAGAGAAAAGTAGCTATATGACGCTTATTGCACCTGTGAGATCTGTCCAATGAGGTTTATTGAATATTCTACCCAATATCTGGCATTTGACACAGGACATGCTGATGAACATTTTCCCTAGTTTCCAACAGTCAACTTTTGTAACAGTGCCCTCTATGCATCTGGCTGTGAATTGCTGTAATGTACAGTAAGTACAGCGCATTTGGAAAGTATTCAGACCCCTTGACTTTTTCCACATTCTGTTACGTTACTTTTTTTATGTCCTCATCAATCTACACCCAATACCACACAATGACAAAGCAAATATATAAAAAATTAAACAGAAATACCTTATTTACATAAGTATTCAGACCCTATTAGACTCAAAATTGAGCTCAGGTGCATCCTGTTTCCATTGATCATCCTTGAGATGTTTCTACAACTCGATTGGAGTCCACCTGTGGTAAATTCAATTGATTGTACATGATTTGGAAAGGCCAGACGGAAGCCACTCCTCAGTAAAAGGCATAACAGCCCGCTTGGAGTTTGCCAAAAGGCACCTAACGGTCTCAGACCATGAGAAACAAGATTCTCTGGTCTGATGAAACCAAGATTGAACTCTTTGGCCTGATTGCCAAGTGTCACGTCTGGAGGAAACCTGGTGGTAGCAGCATCATGCTGTGGGGATGTTTTTCAGCGGCAGGGACTGGGAGACTAGTCAGGATCGAGGGAAAGATGAATGGAGCAAAGTACAGAGAGATCCTTGATGAAAACCTGCTCCAGAGTGCTCAGGACCTCAGACTGGGGTGAAGGTTCATCTTCCAACAGGACAACGACCCTAAGCACACAGCCAAGACAACACAGGAGTGGCTTCGGGACAAGTCTCTGAATGTGCTTGAGTGGCCCAGCCAGAGCCCGGACTTGAACCCGATCAAACATCTCTGGAGAGACCTGAAAATAGCTGTGCAGCGATGCTCCCCATCCAACTTGACAGAGCTAGAGAGGATCTGCAGAGAAGAATGGGAGAAACTCCCCAAATACAGGTGTGCCAAGCTTGTAGCGTCATACCCAAGAAGACGAGGCTGTAATCGCTGCCAAAGGTGTTTCAACAAAGTACTGAGTAAAGGGTCTGAATACTTAAGTAAATCTGATACTTCAGGGTTTTTTTAAATCAATTTCTAAAAACCTGTTTTTGCTTTGTCATTATGGGGTATTGTGTGTAGATTGATGAGGAAAAAAACAATGTAATATATTTTAGAATAAGGCTATAACATAAAATGTGGAAAAGGTCAAAAGTCAAGCGGTCTGAATACTTCCCGAATGCACTGTATACTGCTATCATGAGCAATGCAAAATTAATACAAATGAACAAATAACACTCCGGAGTGGCGCAGCGGTCTAAGGCACTGTATCTCAGTGCTTGAGCATCACTACAGACCCCTGGTTCGATTCCAGGCTGTATCACAACCGGCCGTGATTGGGAGTCCCATAGGGCGGCGCACAATTGGCCCAGCGTCGTCCGGGTTTGGCCGGGATAGGCCGTCATTGTAAATAAGAATTTGTTCTTAACTGACTTGCCTAGTTAAATAAAGGTTAAATTAAAAACACATTCTGCCATAGATAAGTAAAGCTGGTTGTTGAATTAACATTTACAAGATCATTTTCAAACACAGCATGAAGCCTGAACTTGTATGCACTAACTAGTCATACAAAGACATACAATGCTTTTGTGATCAAAAGGCATAGCCTACTCATTGTAAAATATGAATAGACTATTTTTTTTTCAAGTTTTAGCTGATAATTTCCCAATATTATTTGGGCATGACCTTTAATGAAAATAAATTAATGAAACTTTCAGAAGTCTCCAACTGCGGTTGTTGCAGAAATTGGTAGACTATTCACTTGAAACTAATCCACGTTGCCAAAACAGTTAATTACACTTCAATGTATTAGGGATGCTACAGGGAGGGAGAAACATTTTCATAGAGCACCAATTCAGACGTTGTTTGTGGTCTCCTTTGCCCGAGAATAGATTGAGATTATATATATATATATATTATTTTTTTAATAAACAATGCCAATTCTCATTAATGAAAATACATCACCTACTTTCCCCTAATTTGCAATGGAGTCTAGGCTAAAATACCGGTACACCATTTACATGACCCTTAAAATAGGCTCATGCATTGCTGCCAGACAATCAAACAATGGCGCTGCCGCCAAATACACTATATATACACACACAAGAGTATGTGGACACCCCTTCAAATTAGTGGATTCGGCTATTTCAGCCACACCAGTTGCTGACAGGTGTATAAAATCGAGCACACAGTCAAGCAATCTCCATAGACAAATATTGGCAGTAGAATGGCCTTACTGAAGAGCTCAGTGACTTTCAACGTGGCACTGTCAAGTCAGTTCGTCAAATTTCTGCCCTGCTTGAGATGCCCCTGTCAACTGTAAGTGCAGTTATTGTGAAGTGGAAACGTCTAGGAGCAACAACGACTCAGCCGCCAAGTGGTAGGCCACACAAGCTCACAGAATGGGACCGCCGAGTGCTGAAGCGCGTAAAAATAGTCTGTCCTCGGTTGCAACACTCACTACAGAGTTCCAAACGGCCTCTGGAAGCAATATCAGCACAAAAACTGTTCGTCGGGAGCTTCATGAAGTGGGTTTCCATGGCCGAGCAGCCGCACACAAGCCTAAGACCACCATGCACAATGCCAAGCGTTAGCTGGAGTGGTGTAAAGCTCGCCGCCATTGGACTCTGGAGCAGTGGAAACGCGTTTTCTGGAGTGATGAATCACGCTTCACCATCTGGCAGTCCGACAGACAAATCTGGGTTTGGCGGATGCCAGGAGAAAGCTACCTGCCCCAATGCATAATGCCAACTGTAAAGTTTGGTGGAGGAGGAATAATGGTCTGGGGCTGTTTTTCATGGTTCGGGCTAGGCCCCTTAGTTCCAGTGAAGGGAAATCTTAACGCTACAGCATACAATGACATTCTAGACGATTCTGTGCTTCCAACTTTGTGGCAACAGTTTAGTATTTATTTTGTATTTTATTAGGATCCCCATTAGCTGTTGCGAAAGCATGACATAATACAGAACATTAATAGACAAGAACAGCTCAAGGACAGAACAGTTTGGGGAAGGCCCTTTCCTGTTTCAGCATGACAATACCCCCGTGCACAAAGCGAGGTCCATACAGAAATGGTTTGTCGAGATCGGTGTGGAAGAACTTGACTGGCCTGCAGAGCCCTGACCTCAACCCCATCGAACACGTTTGGGATTCATTGGAACTCCGACTGCGAGCCAGGCCTAATCACCCAACATCAGTGCCTGACCTCACTAATGCTCGTGGCTGAATAGAAGCAAGTCCCCGCAGCAATGTTCCAACATCTAGTGGAAAGCCTTCCCAGAAGAGTGGAGGCTGTTATAGCAGCAAAGGGGGGGACCAACATCATATTAATGCCCATGATTTTGGAATGAGATGTTTGACGAGCAGGTGTCCACATACTTTTGGTCATGTGTATTATCCATTCGGGAATTCCCACACTGTAGCAAACTCAGTTACAATATTTCAAAGTATCCATTTCGCGACTCGTCAAGTCGCAACTTTGTATCACATTCACATTGTAAAATGCTACTGGTTGGACTTGGAATAGCCTAATATCCTAGAAGTCGAGGGTAATTAAATGTACTCGAGCCTATTTGTTACACAAGTTGAATATAATGATATGTTTGTTTACTTGAAGCCAGGATCTATCGAACAGCCTATACTAGGCCTCGTATCAATGGTTAAATTAAACGGCGTCTCTGCGAAATTAATAGTATTCAGGACGGCATTTGCTAGGTTACAGTAAAATTGTTTACTGCTTTAGATTTCACAAAATGAAACACCGAATGTACAAAAAAAATGTCACTAGCCTATTTAACAGCGCTTAGTCATTCGCAAATAAACTTAGCAAAGACCAGGGGGGTAGGCCTCATTGAACTGATCTAGCAGATAGGCCTATATACATGTGGAATAGAAACAAGAAGACATAGGCCTACTATTAGCGTTTGGTTTAGCAAGAAGAAAAGTCTGAAGTTGCTTACCCTCGCGGGCCAATGTGGATAACCCTTCATTTTCGCAAACACGAGATCCCCAGGCTTATATTCTTTTTGCCTATTCGACCTCGGCATGGCTTCTCAGTGGATGAATAAGATATTTAAAAAATATATATATATATAAATGTACAATGTCGGTTTACTGTTACAAGTACAACGAAAAATATCCACCTAGAGGATTGCACTTCTTAGGTTAGGAGCTCCAACTTTGGGTTGCTTCAGGTTTTCGCGTCAAAATTCAATCACGCGTAGAAAATTGGAAAGTCGACGCAATCGAATTGGTAACTTTGCGCGGTCCAGCGCTTTGCAAAGTGTGGTTACAAGCTGCACCTATCAATTGTAATTGTTTTATTTAAAAAAAAAAATCCTGTTATTCCTTCCGTCCTAATCCTCTGTATATGGAGACTTGTTTTTGTTTGAAATTGGAACCGCTTCCCTCTTCCGAGCAGACTCATTATCTGAAATTGACTAGTATAGTCTAGGCCGAAACCGAGGTAGCAAAGATATTGGAATTCTGCAAGATTACATAACCTCCATGGATTATAAGCAACAGAAACCTTCCAAAACACCAACAAAATCCCTATTTTGTATTTTATATGCTTTACCTATAATATTCTACTGATACAAGATTATTGATGTATTTCGGTAGCCTATCTAAGGAGATCCAATACAATTTTCTCCTCTATTGTGTCAATCCAAAAAGGGTACTGTATTGGCTCTATTTTCTTTCACACCGTCCTTGGTGAATGAATGCATAACCGGGCCCGGCCACAATTCCGTTTGGCGCAGCTCTGCTGGGCTTGTAGAGTGACAAGGCTTGGGTTGTACACACATACCTCAAACTGACAATTAACTCTGAAATGTCCAACTGAAATGTCCCAGGGTTGCTCCTGGTATTTTCAAATCAAGACAAAGCGTGGGAATATTGAGAAGTCCAAAGTACCTGTACAAATCTGTGCAAATATTATTGACATTACTGGATATATCAAGTAAATGTAGTTTTAGCAGTACTTTCACAGGGTTCATTAGTGAGCACTGTCCAGGCGAGTTGCTGAATTTCCACGAAGGTTGGAAGAAATTAGATTTTAAAAAAAGAAGAAGAACAGAAAAGTGATTTTGTGACAACATATATTTTTTTAATGCCCCAAACACCAACAAACACTCTTACATCAGAGCACTCATATGAGACCACTTGACAAGGAGTGTAACTGTAATCATTGCAACTGGGGTAGGATATCTTGCAGCTTAACAGTGTCTTTGTAACTAGGCCTCTTTTAAGACATTATGCATCAAATAAAGATAGGCTCTGTTTGGAATATCTTGGAGCAGTGAGACTCAACACTCTTTACATACATCCAGAACACAAAAGCAGTGTGACCATCAATGGGCTGAAAGAGTCCAGTCTTCCTGTTAGATATGAGTAAAAATCCAAGACCAACCAAAGTATGTCCAACCAAACCAAACCTGTTGGATGTTGTATCATAATCTGTGATGCCAGACTTACTATAGTGCCTTAGTCTCGCCTTTACACTTTTGACACTTCATTGTATAGCATCTCAAGTACCTCATTTTACAGGTTCTGAGCAGCACAGACAAAGAAAAAGCCTATCTGTGTTATTGCTATTTGATGAAGAGTTTCTCCTGACACATGTATGGCTGGGGTATATGAGATACGCGGTGACAGCTTTTGTGAACAAGCCGTTGCATTGTCGTAATGGCAAAAAGTTTGGGCATTTGTCAAGTGTGTGTAGACGGAATATATATGTTGCTGAAGATTCATCACATGCTTTGTAAACAACAGGTGTAGACTAACAGTGAAATGCTAATTTAAGGGCCCTTCCCAACAATGCAGAGAAATAATAGATAACTTGGCTATATACAAGGGGTACCAGTAAAGAGTCGATGTGCAAGGGTACGAGGTAATTGAGTTTGATACACTATATATACAAAAGTATGTGGACACCCTTTCAAATTAGTGGATTCGGCTATTTCAGCCACACCCGTTGCTGACAGGTGTATAAAACCGAGCACACAGCCAAGCAATCTCCATAAACAAACATTGGCAGTAGAATGGCCTTACTGAAAAGCTCAATGACTTTCAACGTTGCAACGTCATAGGATGACACCTTTCCAACAAGTCAGTTCGTCAAATTTCTGTCCTGCCCCGGTCAACTGTAAGTGCTGTAATTGTGAAGTGGAAACATATAGGAGCAACAGCAGCTCAGCGGCGAAGTGCACAAAAGCTCACAGAACCGGACCACCGAGTGATGAAGCGCGTTGCGCTTAAAAATCATCTGTCCTCGGTTGCAACAATCACTATCGAGTTCCAAACTGCCTCTGGAATCAACGTCAGCACAATAACTGTATTTTATTTTATTTATTTTATTTTATTTTTTACTCATACCAACCTACAACCTATACACTTATTATGGACACAGCGTGCCTACATTATTAGTTATCTTGTTATTGTTTGTTGTTAGTTGTTATTAGTCCCATCCTTCAATTCCATTCAACACCTCCCATCTATCTTTTAACACCATCCATATAGGATTTTTATTTGCCATATATATTTCAACTGTACTGTGATGTCTTACAAAAGTTCTGAACCTTTCTATTCTCATTGTTTCTACAGATTGTGAATTGAAAATAAACATTTTTGCTAATAGTATTATTATGTTATTGATCGATTGACTATGACTTTTCAGATCACCCAGTAGTGCTATCTGCAGGGTTAGCTCCAGGTAAATATTGCAATCCTTTAGCCATTCCTGGACCTGTGTCCAAAAACAAGCTACAAATGGACAGTACCAAAACAAATGATCTAATGATTCTGTCTCTTCGCAGCTAAATCTGCAGAGCTGGGAAGATTGTATCCCCCATATAAATAACATTCTATTGGTAGCAAGAATTTTATATAATAATTTAAATTGAAAGATTCTAAGTTTTGAATCCGGTGTTGTTTCATAAACACTATGCCATGGGATCGGTATATCAAAAATCTCTTCCGAACAATTTTGCAATCTATATGGGACGGCTGTCAATCCTTTGGTCCTTAAGTGAAACTGATATACTTTTTTATTTATCACAGTTTTCCTTAACCAATTATGTTCTTTAATGCAAGGCCGACAGACAAGTTCCTTACTTTCTCCCCCTTCCACTTTCCTCTTCCATTTTTGCGGTAAGGCTGAAATTATTTGGTTGTAATTTTGGGTAGAGCAGACATTTCCATATGTTTTTGTTAGCTGCATGTGCGACATAACTCCACCAGTCCTACCGATGATATCATTTACAAAGATTATACCTTTTTTAAACATTTTGGCAAAAAAAAAAGTTTTTTTGTCAATTAGTATATTTGAGTTTAATCACAATATTTGTTGCATTATTTGTTCTGTCGTTTTTGGAGGATTAAATTGAAATTGCAACCAACTTTCTATGGCTTGTTTTAGAAATAGTGATATCTGGGAGATGATTTCCTTTTCAAATAACTGAAAGTGAGTGGTTGTAATCTGAATAAAGGGAAAAAGGCCATTCTTGAACATTGGGTGAGACAATCTTACTAATTTACTAGAGAACCAGTTCGGATTTAAGTATAACTTTTGTATGACTGAAGCTTTTAGTGATAGGTCTAATGCTTTAATATTTAATAATTTCTGTCCTCCGAATTCATATTCATTATATAAATAGGCCCGTTTAATTTTGTCTGGCTTGCCGTTCCAAATAAAATGGAATATATTTTTCTCATATAATTAAAAAAACTGTTCGCTAGGCGTAGGCAAGACCATAAGCACAATAACTTTTGTTGGGAACTTCATGAAATGGGTTTCCATGGCCAAGCAGCCGCATACAAGCCTAAGATCACCATGCGCAATGCCAAGCGTCGGTTGGAGTGCTGTAAAGCTCGCCGCCATTGGACTCTGGAGTAGTGGAAACATGTTTTCTGGAGTGATGAATCACGCTTCACCATCTGGCAGTCCGACGGATGAATCTGGGGTTGGCGGAAGCCAGGAGAACGCTACCTGCCGAATGCATAGTGCCAACTGTAAAGTTTGGTGGAGGAGGAATAATGGTCTGGGGCTGTTTTTCATGGTTTGGGCTAGGCCCCTTAGTTCCAGTGAAGAGAAATCTTAACACTACAGCATACAATTACATTTTAGACGATTCTGTGCTTCCAACTTTGTGGCAACAGTTTGAGGAAGACCCTTTCCTGTTTCAGCAGGACAATACCCTTGTGCACAAAGCGAGGTCCATACAGAAATGGTTTGTCGAGATCAGTGTGGGTCATTGTTCCATTGAAAAACAAATGATAGTCCCACTAAGCCAAACCAGATGGGATGGCGTATCGCTGCAGAATGCTGTGGTAGACATGCTGGTTAAGTGTGCCTTGAATTCTAAATAAATCACAGACAGTGTCACCAGCAAAGCAACCACACACCATAACACCTCCTCCTCCATGCTTTACGGTGGGAACTACACATGCAGAGATCTTCCGTTTACCCACACTGCGTCTCACAAAGACACGGCGGTTCGGGCTGGGCCCCTTAGTTTTTTTTAGGGCCTTCCTCTGACACCGCCTGGCATAGGGGTCCTGGATGGCAGGGAGCTCAGCCCCAGTGATGTACTGGGCCGTACGCACTACCCTCTGTAGCGCCATACCAAGTTGCCATACCAAGCGGTGATTCAGCCCTCTGTTTCCTGTAGTCCATGACATTGAGGAAGAGGTTGTTGTCCCAGCCCCACACTGCCAGGTCTATGACTTCTCCCTAAAGGCTGACTCATCGTCGTCGGTGATCAGGCCTACCACTGTCGTGTTGTCGGCAAACTTATGATGGTGTTGGAGTCGTGCACAGCCACGCAGTCGTAGGTGAACAGGTAGTACAGGAGGGGACTAAGCACGCACCCTTGAGGGTCCCCCGTGTTGAGAGTCAGCGTGGCAGATGTGTAGTTGCCTAACCTCACCACCTGGGGGTGGCCAATCAGGAATACCAGGATCCAGTTTCAGAGGGAGGTGTTCAGTCCCAGGGTCTTTAGCTTAGTGATGAGCTTGGAGGGCACTATGATTTTGAATGTTGAGCTACACTCAGTGGATACACGGTGCTGCAATTGTGTAAGAGTGAAGGAAGTTGAAGTAGCAAGAATCAGGGCTATCTGGCCAGCAGGTCTCCTATGCAGAGGCAGTGGAAATTGCTGAAGGAGACAGTGGAAATGAGGAAGAAATGTCAATAGACATCTTGCAGCCTGGAGAGAATGTTTATTAGTTGAAGGATCCTGAAATGTTGTTGTGTTTATTGCTCAGGTGATAAATTATACATGCCAAACAAACAAGAAATCAAAGAAACTGGATATAATTGTGAACGTGGCTAAAAGGTTTTTGGATCTCCAGGGCTTCACAGCCGAAACATTGCAGGGAATATTGTCTGAAGATGCTCTTCCCTCTCAGGCCCCAGAGCCTGTAGGGACCTGAGTAGACATTTGAATCTGACTAAAGGAGTACATTGATTTTTGTTTTCACCCCCCCACACCTCTAACGTTTGCTTGCGGACCGCCATAATACCATAGAAGAAGAAGAAGAAGAAGCAGGGAGCATGGCAGCAGCGGGCAGTTCGATACAGATTTTCCTGAAGTCACACAGGGAGATGGAAGTCATCTTGTCGGAGGACCGAGTGAGGAAGAGGGTGGATGGCGAGAAAAAGCGAGGCAGAAAGAAGGGTGCGAGGTGCAAATCTGAACCGACCGAGAAATACAAGACGAGTACTTTCTCCTTTGGGTCATGTACAGGAGATATTATTTTTTTTATGAAGACCCTGAGCAGTCGACGGATAGTGAACTTCAAATTGATCCTGACAAAAGTGAGGAGAAAGAACCTGTGTAGTCTGGTGAGGTGAAGGCTTCTGAGCCTCACCCCAATGATCAGGAAAATGCCTGAGATGTCTCTGGCCCTGTGGTAGTACGATTCGTTGCCAAAGTGGATCCATGCCTTTTGGCTGATCTGTTTGTGGGTTCTGTCAATTTGGTCAATGTATCCAGACGTGGACGTGTAGATTTTTTGTGTCTGCTGCTCAGAGGGAGAGGGCAATGCGCGTTTCGAGGTAAAAGCGGAGTCCTGCTTTGCTCTCCGGAGCAGAGCGCCACTGAAAGGAGTGAAAACTGGGGTGGGGTTTAGTGTTAAGGTGGATCAACTGAAGTTGGGGATCCCCGGTGTCTGTGATGCATACAGTTTAGTGCGACGCAGACCCGGTGGCGAGCGTGAGACTGAGTTTTGATGCAGAGAGTTTGCCGGATAAAGTCATGCTAGGGTATATAAGTTATCCCGTGAGAGCTTTTGTTACAAACCCAGTACAATGTTTCAGATGCCAAGTTTATGGTCATGTTGCAGCAGTATGTAGGAGGGAGATTCTGAAGTGTGATAAGTGTGCAGGAGGGCATGGGACAAAAGTGTGTTGTTTCGGGGGAAAAAGTGGAGTGTTTCAATTGTGGGGGTAGCCATGTTGCTGGGGATCAGAAATGTCCTGGGTGAGAGCAGTGCAGAAAAGTGTCATATGCTAGGGCAGTGGGGAAAGTAGACAATGGTGGGAACAGGGTGAGGGAGCCTGAGAGGATTCCTATGAGTAGTAGGCCAGTACAGAGTGTCCCAAACAGTTTGTGCTTTAGTAAGGTTGGCTTCTTGGCGTTTATTGCTATGTTTATTAATTGTACTGCACAGATGGAAAGGAAATTCCAGAAGATTGAATTGGTAGTAGTAGCAGCAGAGAAGTTTTGGGGTATCAAAGATTTGAGTGCAGAAGAACTACAGGGGGTTTTGAGAGAAGGGGTTCCAGCCTCCCAGGCCTACAGCCTGGTGTAGGATCTGTTGGGGCCAAAGTGGTGGAAGGGGTGGTGAGGTGTGTTGGGGATAGTGGTATATATAGGATTAGATGGCGGTGCAATTTCCTTTTCCCCCCTCATTTCCCTTTTCCATGAACAAATGTGCAATGCACTTTCCAAACTGTGAAAGGCAGCAATACCCAACAAAGCGTCTAGTCTGCCGGAAAACCAAAGAAGAAGGTGGATTTGCGTCGAAGCTGCGCAATAAGTAGCAGCTTGAACACCTCTGTTTTGTACGCATCCATCCATGGTATCAGAGACCCCAAAAGGACATGCTAGCAATTGCTGTTGTTGGATGGAACTAGCTATTTTGGTGGAGGAAAGAAACCATGGGGTATTGATTGCATAATATTCAGTGTAACTGTAAACTAGAATTTGCTTAACATTCACATTAAATGTCTGTTAACGACCTGCTGAGGCCTTGTTTGCTTCGAGTCTAGTCAATCCTCGGCCTGTTTGGAACATTATTACCCTGCAGTGGCTCGACTTGAGCCGCAGGATTTAGCCTCTCTAGCTAGCCAGTGGTTTTCTAATTCAATTTGAAAGTTAGCTATAAAGTTGGTCATCAATTTTAAATGGTTGTCCACAATTTATTGGTTGTTCTCATGCAATAAGCCTCTTATACTTGTACGGCCAAACAATTTTAGCTAGCGAACGTTAGCTATCGTGAACTTGGCAAGTGTGGGTCGGTGGATGCAGCTAGCTAGTTAACGTTACCCGCTACTTATGCCAACAAGCTGCTGCAGAAACATCAACAATGTCTTTGGTAGCGTATGCTAGCAGTGATGACAGTGATTCAGACGAAACGTCTAGTTCCATCGTCCCGGGTAGCAAACCTGGGGGGCTTTTCGCACGCCTCCCTACCTCAAAAAGATCTGCAGAGGCACTAGGAAACGTGCGACCAAGCAAAGGGACAACACACTTCTCATCACGGAACACTGTGTCAAACGATGGCGACGAGGACTCCGTTACCCGTTCTCAACCATCCAAGGGAGGGTTGCTTTTCGATTTACCTAAGCCGAAGAAGCGAACAGAGCCTGTCAAAATCACTATACCTGAGATGAAGAGAGGGGATGTAAGTAACAGGGCCACAGGCTCATAACTAGGCTACATTTTAAACATTTAATTTAGCTACAGACCAAATAACAAGTGCTTGTTTTGAAATGGATTAGAAGTGGTGATTTCAACATTATCCTATGTCTTGTCAACAGTCTGACTCCGATGAAGATGAACCAAGGAGAAAGAAATCCCTGCCCCAGGTAAAACATGACTTGCACTTGCATTTTTGATAATTCTCAGTGACAAATTCTCAGTATATGTGGACGTAGGCCTTGCCAACCATACCTATCATGATCTAACCCCTGATCTAAGTCACCACTAGCTGGCCTCTGCCCAGTACCCTACCCTGAACCTTAGTCACTGTTCTAGCCAGCACTCTACCCTGCACCCTAGAGACTGCTGCCCTATGTACATAGTCATGAACACTAATCATTTTAATAATGTTTCACCCACTTTATATGTATATACAGTATTCTAGTCATGGCTCATCCTATATAACTTATTTTAAATTTTTCAGGATTATGTGTGTATGGTTATTTATTTTTGCTATGTATTACTGCACTGTAAACATTTCGCTGTACCTGTGATAACATCTGTAAATCTGTGTACGCGACCAATAAACTTTGATTTGAGGACATGTTTTGTCTTTCCATCTCTATCTCTCTCTTAGGGCCCTGGCACTGGCCTTTCCTCCCTCCTGCCTCAGCCAAAAAACATGGTTGTGAAGGAGATGCAGAGGGCTCTAGTGCCTCACACCCTCACCAAACGGCCGGAGCCAAAGAAACCCACAAAGCCCTCCTTAGGGGCCTCCCAGGGCCACCCCAGCTCCAGTGCATCCCCCTCCGCCATCAAAGCAGCAGCCAAGTCAGCTGCTCTGCAGCTAGCGAGGCAAATAGCTGCTGAGGAAAGTGACGAGGAACTGGCCCCCGAGAACTACTTCTCCCTGGAAGAGAGTGCCAAGCCTCTCCCCGCTGTGGTCCCCAGCTTGAACCCGGAGCCTGTCCCCACCTCAGGCCTGCTACCCGCTCCTCCAGGCATGCAGCGTGGTACCTTCCAGTCAGATGCCCCTCTGGACTTTGGCGCGAACCAAGAGGGAGCTTGGGGAGGTCAACAGCTAGGGGCGTACCAGCAGCCCTCAGCAGCGCCTCAGGTACTGAGAAAAAGTTGGGTCCATGGATAAACTACATGACCAAAAGAATGTGGACACCTGCTTGTCGAACATCTCATTCCAAAATGGAAATTAATATGTAGTTGGCCCCCCCTTTGCTGCTATAACAGCCTCCACTCTTCTGGGAAGGCTTTCCACTAGATTGTCATTGTATGCTGTAGCGTTAAGACTTCCCTTGACTGGAACTAAGGGGCCTAGCCCAAACCATGAAAAACAGCCCCAGACCATTATTCCTCTGCCACCAAACTTTACAGTTTGCACCTTCCATTTGGCAGGTAGCATTCTCCTGGCATCCGCCAAACCCAGATTTGACCGTCGGACTGCCAGATGATGAAGCGTGATTCATTACTCCAGAGAACGTGTTTCCACTGTTCCAGAGTCCAATGGCTGCGAGCTTTACACCACTCCAGCCGACGCTTGGCATTGCGCGTGGTGATTTTAGGATTGTGTGCAGCTGCTCGGCCATGCATGAAGCTCCCGACAAACCGTTATTGTGCTGGCGTTGCTTCCAGAGGCAGTTTGGAACTCTGTAGTGAGTGTTGCAACCGAGGAAAAACATTTTTTACGCGCTTCAGCACTCGCCGGTCCCGTTCTGTGAGCTTTGGTGGCCTACCACTTTGTGGCTGAGCCGTTGTAACAGCAAATTACAGTTGACTGGGAAGCTCTGACCGGGCAGCTCTAGCAGGGCAGAAATTTGACAAACTGACTTGTTGGAAAGGTGGCATCCTATGACGGTGCCACGTTGAAAGTCCCTGAGCTCTACTGTAAGGCCATTCTACTGCCAATGTTTGTCTATGGAGATTACATGGCTGTGTGCTCGATTTTATATACCTATCAGCCACTGGTGTGGCTGAAATGGCTGAATCCACTAATTTGAAGGGGTGTCCACATACATTTGTGTATATATAGTGTATAGATCTCTTTCCCTCTAGCTGGATGGATGGACAGATAAGCTTTATTGCTTTGCACTGCATTGTATAAAACAATATTGCCAATACACCAAAATAAACTACAATAATACTCAACTTCCACAATATACCAAATACAATAGACCTGCTGTGCATTACCTACTCAAATGTCCAACTACAACATATTTTAGATGAGAGCAAATTATGTATATCAGTCTATTACCAAGCTGATATACAGGTTAAAACATCAGATGTACTGTGCCCAGAATGGATCCTTATTGACCCCTGTGAGTTGCTGACACAGCCGTTTACAGCAATTTGCTGTAAAATCTATTTTGTTTTCATCCATTGAGATGCATCAGGGTAGCGTAATGCTTTTATGTCATGTTGCATTGATACAGGCTAACAAAAAACATTCTCCTGTTGGATAGGGTTACTACAACGAGGCTTACTACCAGGATCCAGAGTCTGACCCAGCACTGCCTGAGCCAGAGCAACCTAGCTCCTCCGCCCTGTTTGATGATGAAGCGGTAAGAATGTTTCTTGGCTTGACACTGGTCTGTTGGCTTGTTATTGATCAGGAATGTGATTTTCCCTGATTAATCAGGAAGTCCTGCTTTTCTGACATTATCCTGTATATCACTGAATTTGACCTACCCCGAAACCAATATCCTGCTCTTCTTGATTTATTTTATATTGTCCTGATCACATCCATAATTGTCAGCGTAGTTCATACACTGAATAAAGAGGTTGCTGCTACAAGATATAGAAGAGTAAGATATTTTCTGGCTGCAGTTCATGAGGCTGCAGGGGAAGAGGAACAGGGGCAAGGAGGAGGTGAAGTTCCTGGAGATCAAGGGAGATGACCAGCTGAGCGGCAACCAGCAGTGGATGACCAAGAGCATGACAGAGGAGAAGCAGCAGCGCAAATCCTTCAGCAAGGTGAGGGAGATTTGCACTGGAGCCGTCCCCATATTGCTTACACTTGTCCATCATTTTCAGATCTGTTAACATCAAAGGGTTAGGGGCTTGGAGCTGAATTGGAACCTGGATCATAGTAGTGATGATGGGGTAGGGGAATGTAAGGCAATAGTGGAATGAGAGGTGAGGAATTGGTAGGGCAGGACTTTTTCAATGTGGCCTGAGTGAGGATTTTGTTATCTGATCTCAACCTTGCTTGGGCTGACCCCCTGACCTCTTCCCTGTGTCTGTAGAAAAAGGGAGACCAACCCACAGGGCAACAGCGACGCAAGCACCAGATCACATACCTCATCCACCAGGTGAGTACATACATACTGTATACATTGCTACAGTACTGTCTTGGAACCTAACACCAAGGTCCCATTCGGTAGACACAAATGGGAGAAAAATAAAATGGAAAATTAAAAAGGTGTTCCCACTGGACAAGTTGTCCTTCTCTTCCGTTGAGAGTAAAAAAATCATTTTTTCCCCAGTTTGGCGCCTACTGAACACGACTTGGTACACCTATCACTGGCAATCATTTTGGAAACACTTAACATGCATGGTTATTGGCCTCACATCAACAGACCTAGATTTGACCAGATATGTGATTTTTACAAGCAAAATGTGTCAGTTTGAGTTAACTTCTAATTCTGATCACCTATAGGCAAAGGAGCGAGAGCTAGAGCTGAAGAACAACTGGGCCGACAACAAGCTGACTCGCCGGCAAACACAGGCCAAATACGGCTTCTAAGAACCGTAACAGAAGGCTTGGTGGCATGCATAGCTCTCCCCCTGAAGATTAGAGTAGTACAGTCCAGAAGATTTCCTCAACTTGGGGCATACTATACCCTTGTCGTGGGGTAGGGGTTACACACCTCATAGACCCATCCTTGGAGATGCTAGCACTGACTTTCCTTTTTGTCCCCCCCGTTTGTGGGCCTCCCTGGATTTGATACTTAACAGTAGTTTTGGTGGACTATTTTGTACTTATGTTGGTTCTTGGCTGCATAGGAAATCAAAATGAGACTGCTGCACACATGGTTGACCGACACATATGTTTTCCTGGGAAATAGTGTTTAAATGCAATTTCATGTGGTGGTATATTTCACCAGATTACACATTGGAACCACCAATGATCAGTAGTCTGAGAATAAAAGGAACGTTTCCCTTGCGGTGTCCAGATTTTATTAATCTTGTATGTTTCCAATGTTGGGACAGTGACCTGCTCTTAAATCCTGTCAATCCAACCCCAAGCTTTCCCTAGGTTTTTAGATGTTAGAAAACACATCATTTGATGCCCTTGGTGGAATTACCCTGTTGTGATACTTCAACCTGACCAGTTTGGAAGATCTCTTTACTGGATTTTGGGGGAGAGTTGGTGTCTTTTAAAGGAGCCAGAAACTCCTGTCGTCTGCCAGTAAAAAATATAATATACAGTGATGACGGAGAGACTTATTGGAATAATGAACTGTGCAATTTGAATAAAATAATACTGCCCATCTCTCAGGCTGTGGAGAATCTTGTGTTGCTTTCTCTCCAGAGAAATGGATGTAAAATTGGATCAGTTATGTATTTTACCGTCCTGGCTAGCCAACCAGGTTTTTAAATGGCTGTTTAGCTAGGCCTCAACATTTAGTGAGGATTTGGGAATCCATGTTTCTGAAGGGCGCACTGTGCACATTCTGCTGGTTTTGTTGTACCTCTATATGGTGATAAGGGGACCACATCAATTCTGGATCTAAAGGCATCAGATACTGTATGTGTAAGAGATAGGCTAGGGTGCATTCATTGCTTACACATACCCAATCCTCTCAGAGCTTCAAGGGTGAGAATTAAGGGAAATTGAACTTGGAAGGGCAGTTTGTCAAATTAATCCCATTTCACCTGTATAACCAGAAAAAAAAGGTGCTGAAAACCAGCAGTTTCAAGGATCACGGGTCTACCTTTCGTGATAAACTAGCTCAGTGTTTTTGTATTTTGACACTAAGTCAAAGCAAAATAATGTAACCGTCATGTTCACAACTTGGCATTGGCAGGGACAGACTGGTTATGCCAAAAGCACCCCATTGAGGGTAATGGTATAGCAGACTGGATCTTAAAGGTCTGTGCTTTGCCAAGCTCATTAGGAGGCATTTCAATACTGTATATCAATGTAAGAGGTGGGGGAAATACCTTTTTGTTTTACCCTATACTGTTACATGTTTTGTGCTGTTAAAATAAAATGTATTTCATTTCCTGAATTGTCAGATTTGATACTTATTGTGCAATGTTCTGTCCACCAATATCTCAGCTCTTAACATTGCTTAAGGACAAACTGAAATAAAAATCAGTCGATGGTGCTGACACCTGAAACTGCGCACAGTAACTATTCATATCAACTTGACTTTGCAGTGAAAGTGATGGCATACATATGGAAATAATGAAATGACAAAACGAGAGACTAGAATGCAATGTACAACCATGAGTTTGTCATGAAATAACTCAATCTTGCACTTTCAAAACAGATCCAAAGATGCTTTAATCATTTATTTACTGTTACTGGTAAACCGTTCCGTGAGCATCTAGTTATGACATTAAGTACTCCAAAGCTACGTTGAAAGTTTAGTCCTCAATCGCGGGGTTCTTAGTCTTTTTTTCTAGTTCTCTGTGGTCGGAACTACTTTTTTTTCCGCCGCAGCCTCTGGGGCAGCCGCAGCCTCTGGGGCAGCCTCTGGAATGGTAGCCTCTGGAACTGCAGCTGCAACAACCTCTGGAACAGTAGCCGCCTCTGAAACTACGGCCTCTTGTACTGCAGCTGCAACGGTCTCCTGCTTTTGCAACAGTTTGCGCCCAGTCGCTGTAGGGTCTTCAAAGGGCACCACCGACATGGGGATCCGCACAGTGTCTATCCCATTAACCTGGGAGACGAGAAAAGGCAAATTAACACTAGAACCGCAGGGCCAGATTACCGAACGGGCACTGACCTTAAACCCCCAGATAGCATATGAACGTCATAAGCCATGGCAAATTAGTTTCCCAAAATAATTTAAAATGTAAAATTCTGGCCTCATGGAGGTAGGTGCCCAGGGTCCAGGCATACCAAGTCAGGCCAATGCCGCACCATTTGGGGCGTCAACATTCAATTGCCTAATAAATACATTTCATATACACAAGTCAAAAGTTTGGTCACACCTACTCATTCAAGGGTTTGCAAAAAAAATTGAGTTTTGGCAAATTTAGGTGTTTTAGAAACCTTAGAAAACGTCTGACCTGCATGAACCTCTGTAGGATGATTTTTTAAAAAAGTCGCTTTTTGATAAGCTCCATTCCCTTATGTCAATTACACACGCTGTGCTGTTCATCAGTCTCTTCATTCACAAGACAATTTATAATATTGACTATTGTCAATCTAATCTTGTCTTTAAGCTAAATCTATTATTATATATGTGTGAAATTAGTTTTGATATAGTTCAGGTGTAGTTTCGATGGGCCATTGTTAGATGGACAGCCAACTGTCGGGCAAAGGAAGGGCGGGAATGTCCTCCTAAAACTGCTTATAACAAACATTTTAAATGTCAGTGTGTTAAAAATACTTTTTAGTTTAAATCAAGGACGGAGGGGGACATGGCTTTAAAAATGGCAGTGATACTACAATTTTTTATTCACAAAAGGCGGTTATAGTGTTAATGGGCTGCCTTTAATATAAAATCGCAACCATTTTGGCTCTTCAGACCCCATTTTCTGGGAGGCAACCATGCCCATCCTGTCTGATACCAGACCAGAGCCATTTGGGCTGCTGCTCTCTTCATTAGTGATCAAAGAGCAGACTTAGTTTGGTTGTAAATGCTTTCATAGGATACAATTACCAATAAAACCAACAGTTGCATGCATTTAGACCAGACAAAAGAAAAGGAACTGAAAATACCATTTTGTCAACACAGTGAAATATGGAGTCGTGCCCTTACCGTGACCTCACACCAGTAATCTCCCAGGTCTTTGATTGGCTCTTCCGGTAGTCTCAGTGCATGAGGTGGCACAAATATGCCCCGCTGAATAGGAAAACGATGAGAGAAGAGAAGACTAAATCAAAAGATTGAAGTGAATGCAATGACTGCTTCTCAGTCATCATTAGCAACCTTTGTTACAGGACATGGTATAGAACGCTACCAAACCGACACCACTTAAATCAGCAGGGGATGATTAAACAGATGAGTGACTGTGGGCAATTCCACAGTAACTGTTGCTGAGACTCAGATTTCACTTTAAAATATATGTCAAACAAAAACCAATCATTGCAAAGTTAAACAAACCATACAACTCTGTGCACAAAGACTACTTTTAACGATTTCCACAGAAAATTTTACAAAAACACATTTACTTGAAGAACAGTGCAGTTGTAAAGTTTGGTAACAGAATGACGGTTTGTGCCATCATTCTGGTTTGTTTAACTTTGCAACCGTGAAATTGCTACATTACTGTCTTGATGAAAATGGTGATAATCCAACCCTCGCAGATCCGTGACTGCTTCAAGGAAGGATGAATGCACACTATTTTTCATGTTCCTGAACAATCTACAAGCCCAGTCTTACCTTCTTGAGAAGCTGCCTGCAGACAATCTCTTTGGTGATGTCATACTCAATGGAGGTTCTTTTCTCAACTTTCAACTCCATATGCTTCATGATCTCCACCGTCTGCAAACACAAGACACACAGCTCGGTGTGGTTGTGGACAACTGACCAACTAATTGGTAGCAGGAGCAATGTTCATTTGCAAATACAGTAGTACAAATAGGATCTATTAAAATATTATTCTAGTTGTTTCAGACAAACAATTGGTGAAGAGCAACACAGCCACAGTACACCATCTTAAGCAGGGGTTAGCCTTCGAAATGAGATAAATTAAAGGAAAAAGGAATGCCCTGCTCACCAGCTGTCCTGTGCGGGTTTGGATTCTCTCCTCTGGCCTCCCTTCATGTAAGAGCTGTAGAAGGAAATGATACGTCTATTTTAGGGGGTGCAATATAAGGACTACATATAACAACAAACATAGGATCCAGCTATATTACATCAACCCTACCATAAAAATGTCCAACTCACACCCATGTACCTTTTTCTACAAACCAGAGGAACGAGATAAAATACACCATACTCCCAATACATCTAAAACACTCACCCTCAGCTCCTCTGCAAACATCTCTTTGTTTTCTGGTGAAGGGTAGACTGCCAGGCCTTGGGCCAGGAGGTTATTGCGTCCGACAGACTTTTTCACAAACACAGTGTCACCTCGCCCACCAAGCTCTGATAATAAAGCCACAAATACATTAGAATGCATGCATGCCCAATGCTTCATGCTAAGTAACATCCTAGTGTGGATATTGGAAGAAGAGCAAACAGGCATACTTACTAGCCACAGTCTGTGTGAGGATGAGTTCCATCTTCTCCTTAGGAGCATGCTTTGTGTCTTCTACCACTTTGTAGACCCGATGTCGCCGAGGGTATAGCCTTGGTGGGCGGCCCTCTTTGGACAATGGGACCTGCCACCAACGCTCTACCACAACTGTGTTCTGGGTAAGAGAGAGAATGAGGTATAGTAGGAGAGTTTGGTTCCCCAGGGGTGTATTCATTACGGAAAACGTTTACCATTTAAGAACCAAAAATGGAAGCAAACAGAAAACTGATCTAAAACGGGGAGGGACATACCTGAATTTGTCCAATACAAACTCTCGTTTTGGAATCATGACATTGTGTACTTTCGAGGAAAATAGGCAGGTTTAGTGACTCAAACCCTGACTTTAAAAAATGATCGCTTGACGATTAGCTTAGCAACCACGCAATGCAGCATGACAACGTGAACACGATTGGTCAACAGTCTGCTGGGCGGGACATATACGTTCCTCCATTCATTGCAACCTGGTCTCAGAGCATTTCATATTGTTCTGTACGTAAATCCGAGCTACCCCATTTAGTATGATATGTTACGTTTCGTATGGTTACATTACATTTGAGTCATTTAGCAGACGCTCTTATCCAGAGCAACTTACAGTTAGTGAGTGCATTCATTTTCATACTGGCCCCCCGTGGGAAACGAACCCACAACCTTGACGTTGCAAGCGCCATGCTCTACCAACTGAGCTACACGGGGCCCTACATAAGACGGATAGTTACTTTAAAAAAACGAAAGAAAGGTGGTCCGTCGGGGTAGCGAGTTCAAATCTCATCATGGACAACTTAAGCATTTGAGCAACTTCAAATCAAATCAAATTTTATTGGCCACATGCGCCAAATACAACGGGTGCAGACATTACAGTGAAATGCTTACTTACAGCCCTTAACCAACAGTGCATTTATTTTAAATAAAAAAGCACCAAGGAACTTGAAGCTCTCAACCTGTTCCACTACAGCCCCGTTGATGAGAATGGGGGCGTGCTCAGTCCTCTTTTTTTCCTGTAGTCCACAATCATCTCCTTTGTCTTGGTCACGTTGAAGGAGAGGTTGTTATCCTGGCACCACACGGCCAGGTCTCTGACCTCCTCCCTATAGGCTGTCTCATTGTTGTCGGTGATCAGGCCTATCACTGTTGTGTCGTCGGCAAACTTAATGATGGTGTTGGAGTCGTGCCTGGCCATGCAGTCATGGGTGAACAGGGAGTACAGGAGGGGACTGAGCACGCACCCGAGGGGCCCCCGTGTTGAGGATCAGTGTGGCAGATATGTTGTTACCTACACTTACCACCTGGGGGCGGCCCGTCAGGAAGTCTAGGATCCAGTTGCAGAGGGAGGTGTTTAGTCCCAGGATCCTTAGCTTAGTGATGAGCTTTGAGGGCACTATGGTGTTGAACGCTGCGCTGTAGTCAATGAATAGCATTCTCATGTAGGTGTTCCTCTTGTCCAGGTGGGAAAGGGCAGTGTGGAGTGCAATAGAGATTGCATCATCTGTGGATCTGTTGGGGCGGTATGCAAATTGGAGTGGGTCTAGGGTTTCTGGGATAATGGTGTTGATGTGAGCCATGACCAGCCTTTCAAAGCACTTCATGGCTACAGACGTCAGTGCTACGGGTCGGTAGTCATTTAGGCAGGTTATCTTAGAGTCCTTGGGCACGGGGACTATGGTGGTCTGCTTGAAACATGTTGGTATTACAGACTCAGTCAGGGACATGTTGAAAATGTCAGTGTAGACACTTGCCAGTTGGTCAGCACATGCTCGGAGTACACGTCCTGGTAATCCGTCTGGCCCTGCGGCCTTGTGAATGTTGACCTGCTTAAAAGTCTTACTCACATCGGCTACGGAGAGCGTGATCACATAGTCATCCGGAACAGCTGGTGCTCTCATGCATGCTTCAGTGTTGCTTGCCTCGAAGCGAGCATAGAAGTGGTTTAGCTCGTCTGGAAGTCGTGTCACTGGGCAACTCGCGGCTGTGCTTCCCTTTGTAGTCTGTAGTAGTTTTCGAGCCCTGCCACATCCGACGAGCGTCAGAGCCGGTGTAGTACGATTCAATCTTAGTCCTGTATTGACTCTTTGCCTGTTTGATGGTTTGTCGGAGGGCATAGCGGGATTTCTTATAAGCGTCCGGGTTAGAGTCCCGCTCCTTGAAAGCGGCAGCTCTACCCTTTAGCTCAGTGCAGATGTTTCCTGTAATCCATGGCTTCTGGTTGGGGTATGTACGTACGGTCACTGTGGGAACGACATCATCGATGCACTTATTGATGAAGCCAGTGACTGATGTGGTGTACTCCTCAATGCTATCTGAAGAATCCCGGAACATGTTCCAGTCTGTGCTAGCAAAACAGTCCTGTAGCTTAGCATCTGCGTCATCTGACCACTTTTTTTATTAACCGGGTCACCGAGCTTCCTGCTTTAGTTTTTGCTTATAAGCAGGAATCAGGAGGATAGAGTTATGGTCAGATTTGCCAAATGGAGGGCGAGGGAGAGCTTTGTATGCGTCTCTGTGTGTGGAGTAAAGGTGGTCTAGAGTTTATTTTCCTCTGGTTGCACATTTAACATGCTGGTAGAAATTAGGTAGAATGGATTTAAGTTTCCCTGAATTAAAGTCCCCGGCCACTAGGAGCGCTGCCTCTGGATGAGCGTTTTCCTGTTGACTTATGGCCTTATACAGCTAATTCAGTGCAATCTTAATGCCAGCATTGGTTTGTGGTGGTAAATAGACAGCTATGAAAAATATAGATGAAAACTCTCTTAGTAAATAGTGTGGTCTACAGCTTATCATAAGATACTCTACCTCAGGCGAGCAAAACCTCGAGACTTCCTTAGTATTTGATTTTGTGCACCAGCTGTTGTTTACAAATATACACAGACCGCCTCCCCTTGTCTTACCGGAGTCAGCCGTTCTATCCTGCCGATGTAGCATATAGCCCGCTAGCTGTATGTTATCCATGTCGTCGTTCAGCCACGACTCGGTGAAACACAAGATATTACAGTTTTTAATGTCCCATTGGTAGGATAACTAATCTTAGGTCATCCAATTTATTCTCCAATGATTGAAGCTTGGCTAATAGGATTGATGGGAGCGGCAGTTTACTCACTCGCCGTTGGATCCTTACAAGGCACCCCGACCTACGTCCACGATATCTCTGTCTCTTCCTCATGCGAATGATGGGGATTTGGGCCTTGTCGGGTGTCTGTAGGATATCCTTCGTGGCCGCCTCGTTGAAGAAAAAATCTTCGTCCAATACGAGGTGAGTAATCGCTGTCCTGATATCCAGAAGCTCTTTTTGGTTTTAAGAGACGATGGCAGAAACATTACGTACAAAATAAATGACAAATAACGCAGAAAAACACACATAATAGTACAATTCGTTAGAGGGCTGTAAAACGGCAGCCATCTTCTCCGGCACCATCATCCAAAGTGACTACTTATTACTTTTTAGGTACTTTGCAACGACTAGGTAGCTAATGTTAGCTACTTAGCTAGAATCAATAACATATCATAATTGAGTAAATTCGTAACCTGTTGTACGTTTTGCAAATTCGTAACATATAATACGAATTGTAATTCACATATCATACGAAATGGGTGATGGACATCCACAAATTAATACACATACATATATATATATATATATAATACATACCATACGAAACGTAACTAACCGAGTCACATGAGACAGCCTATAGGGAGGAGGTCAGAGACCTGGCCGTGTGGTGCCAGGATAACAACCTCTCCCTCAACGTGACCAAGACAAAGGAGATGATTGTGGACTACAGGAAAAAAAAGAGGACTGAGCACGCCCCCATTCTCATCGACGGGGCTGTAGTGGAACAGGTTGAGAGCTTCAAGTTCCTTGGTGTCCACATCACCAACAAACTGTCATGGTCCAAACACACCAAGACAGTCGTGAAGAGGGCACGACAAAGCCTATTCCCCCTCAGGAGACTGAAAAGATTTGGCATGGGTCCTCAGATCCTCAAAAAATTCTACAGCTGCACCATCGAGAGCATCCTGACTGGTTGCATCACCGCCTGGTATGGCAACTGCTTGGCCTCCGACCGCAAGGCACTACAGAGGGTAGTGAGTACGGCCCAGTACATCACTGGGGCCAAGCTTCCTGCCATCCATGACCTCTATACCAGGCGGTGTCAAAGGAAGGCCCTCAAAATTGTCAAAGACTACAGCCACCCTAGTCATAGACTGTTCTCTCTGCTACCGCACGGCAAGCGGTACCGGAGTGCCAAGTCTAGGTCCAAAAGACTTCTCAACAGCTTCTACCCCCAAGCCATAAGACTCCTGAACAGCTAATCATGGCTACCCGGACTATTTGCACTGCCCCCCCAACCCATCTTTTTACGCTGCTGCTACTCTGTTAATTATTTATGCATAGTCACTTTAACTCTACCCACATGTACATATTACTTAAACTACCTCAACTAGCCGGTGCCCCCGCACATTGACTCTGCACCGGTACCCCCCTGTATATATAGCCTCCCTACTGTTATTTTATTTTACTTCTGCTCTTTATTTCTCAACACTTTTTTGTTGTTTTATTTTACTTTTTTATTAAAAATAAATGCACTGTTGGTTAAGGGCTGTAAGTAAGCATTTCACTGTAATGTCTGCACCTGTTGTATTCGGCGCATGTGGCCAATACAATTTGATTTGAACATACCATACTAAATGGAGGGTCTCAAATTTACGTAGAGAATAATACAAAATGCTCTGAGACCAGGTTGTTCATTGTCCAATGGGATTCCTGACTCCTTTCTCTAATATCTCTGGCTAATTCACTGGAGACTGCTGAGGGGAGGACGGCTCATAATAATGTCTCGAACGGAGCGAATGGCACAAAACACATGGAAACACTAGCTGTGTTCGAATACTCATACTAACCATACTATTTGTAATGTAAATTTAGTGTGTAGTATGCGTATTGGACATAGTATGGATATAGTTAGTATGCCAAAAGTTCCCAGATGTCGTACTACATTCGCCAAAATACGAAGTATACAAGCAGTGGACTCTTTTACCCTGCTTTTATACACAATGCAATTCTTTAGAAATTCATTTTCAGATTTGAAATAAATGGCGGAAAATATGCAGCTGAAGTCTGACGAGAGCGGATACAAATTCATTGCTTTCGTAATTATGACAAATGTTAAGAAAATGTTGAGCAATGTCATAAAGTAATGACTTTTCAAATAAGTTACGTTACACATTATGTTGGCTGACAATTTGTTCACGTCATTCTTAGCTTAGCTAAGTGGTACAGTCATTGTGCGTTCAATGGACATTGTTAATGAAGTCGTAAGATCTCTAGCTAGTAATTATTTATGCTAACAAACTAGCAACAAGTTGCATAGCAACAGCATCAACTTTCAGTAGACAGGCAAAGCACTAGTACACTCAACTGAAAAGATACCGTTCATTTACAGTATACTCAAATGAACTAATGGTATATACTCATTAAGTATGTAGTATACAGTATGGGTATTCGAACACAGCTCATGTGTGTTGTTCATACCTTTCCACACATTACGCTCCAGCCATTACCAAGTGCCCATCCTCCCCAATTAAGGTGCCACCAACCTCCTGTGGCTATAGTTAGTTAGTTAGCAGCACTCATTTAGCTTGCAACCTTCTATTCTTTCTGCCTACGTTTAAATACCAGCAAAATGTTATAATTCACTCAAAAACTAAACTAACTTTACCTTGCATGATGTTTGTGAAATACACTGAACCGAGGAATGTGTCACTTTCGTAAACTCCCGGACTAGATCCTGAAGGACATGACGGCTGGTACTCCACATGGTTGTCAGATTAGCTGTATATAAAGGTCCCGTTTGTATTCAACACTGCAGAAATGCTATTTTCAAACTGTGCTAAAGCAAGGTGGCGTTAATGCACCTAATGTAAACCAGAAGTTTGTTATTATGAATCAAACAAGATCTTCAAATTCAAGCTAATCGGCTAGCTGGTTACCATTGACAAGGCGCTGTTGATGTGCGTCACATGAGCGACTACGAAGGAAAGGACCCTGGATAGGCGTCTTAAATAAAGCCTGCAATTACTTGTATCTTCCGTCAAAATGTGTAAGCATAATTTTATATTAGGAATGATTTGAATGAAAACGTTGGAATTATTTTATGCAATTGCATAAAGAAACAAATGTGTGTGTGTGAAAGAGAGGGTATGTGTGTGTGTGTGTGTGTGTGTGTGTGTTTTGGAATAGCCTATAAATTCACCAGTGGCTGTTGGTGACATTTCAGATGAGGGAGGACATTTTGTATTTTTTAATAGCATGGCCTTATTTCTATTACAGCATATTGGATGACTGTCATTCATATTCCATTCACCCAGCTAAATGTAACATCGATAGGTTTAGGCTACTCAAATGTTCCCTATACCTATCATGATGTTGTTACAATCTAGTCTATGAATGAAAGTTTACAACATAGGTGCACAGGTCGGGAGAAACATTTGACAGACAGTGACAGACAGTGGCGCATTCAATACCGCCTTTAACACTCTTGCCTGCATCTAGCTGATCTAGGGTGTAATCATTAGTCCAACAGTTGCAAACCAGAGTTTCCATTGGACAAATTCAGGTATGTTTATCCCTGTTTTGTTCGTTTGCTTCCGTTTAAGAAAACGTTTTTCAACAGAATCGGCAGAATGAATACACCCCGATCACACGCAAACACAGTTCACTTTCATAGCAAAACAGCATGATCATCTTGCTCGTTGTAGAGTTCCTACTTGCATCTACAGTGAGGGAAAAAAGTATTTGATCCCCTGCTGATTTTGTACGTTTGCCCACTGACAAAGAAATGATCAGTCTATAATTTTAATGGTAGGTTTATTTGAACAGTGAGAGACAGAATAACAACAAAATAATCCAGAAAAACGCATGTAAAAAATGGTATAAATTGATTTGCATTTTAATGAGGGAAATAAGTATTTGACCCCCTCTCAATCAGAAAGATTTCTGGCTCCCAAGTGTCTTTTATACAGGTAACGAGCTGAGATTAGGAGCACATTCTTAAAGGGAGTGCTCCTAATATCAGCTTGTTACCTGTATAAAAGACACCTGTCCACAGAAGCAATCAATCAATCAGATTCCAAACTCTCCACCATGGCCAAGACCAAAGAGCTCTCCAAGGATGTCAGGGACAAGATTTTAGACCTACACAAGGCTGGAATGGGCTACAAGACCATCGCCAAGCAGCTTAGTGAGAAGGTGACAACAGTTGGTGCGATTATTCGCAAATGGAAGAAACTGTCAATCTCCCTCGGCCTGGGGCTCCATGCAAGATCTCACCTCGTGGAGTTGCAATGATCATGAGAATGGTGAGGAATCAGCCCAGAACTACACGGGAGGATCTTGTCAATGAGCTCAAGGCAGCTGGGACCATAGTCACCAAGAAAACAATTGGTAACACACTACGCTGTGAAGGACTGAAATCCTGCAGCGCCCGCAAGGTCCCCCTGCTCAAGAAAGCACATATACAGGCCCATCTGAAGTTTGCCAATGAACATCTGAATGATTCAGATGAGAACTGGGTGAAAGTGTTGTGGTCAGATGAGACCAAATTTGAGCTCTTTGGCATCAACTCAACTCGCCGTGTTTGGAGGAGGAGGAATGCTGCCTATGACCCCAAGAACTCCGTCCCCACCGTCAAACATGGAGGTGGAAACATTATGCTTTGGGGGTGTTTTTCTGCTAAAGGGACAGGACAACTTCACCGCATCAAAGGGACGATGGACGGCGCCATGTACAGTCAAATCTTGGGTGAGAACCTCCTTCCCTCAGCCAGGGCATTGAAAATGGGTCATGGATGGGTATTCCAGCATGACAATGACCCAAAACACACGGCCAAGGCAACAAAGGAAAGGCTCAAGAAGAAGCACATTAAGGTCCTGGAGTGGCCTAGCCAGTCTCCAGACCTTAATCCCATAGAAGATCTGTGGAGAAAGCTGAAGGTTCGAGTTGCCAAATGTCAGGCTCGAAACCTTAATGACTTGGAGAAGATCTGCAAAGAGGAGTGGGACAAAATCCCTCCTGAGATGTGTGAAAACCTGGTGGCCAACTACAAGAAACGTCTGACCTCTGTGATTGCCAACAAGGGTTTTGCCACCAAGTACTAAGTCATGTTTTGCAGAGGGGTCAAATACTTATTTCCCTCATTAAAATGCAAATCAATTTATAACATTTTTGACATGCGTTTTTCTGGATTTTTCTGTTGTTATTCTGTCTCTCACTGTTCAAATAAACCTACCATTAAAATTATAGACTGATCATGTAACGTACAAAACGTACAAAATCAGCAGGGGATCAAATACTTTTTTCCCTCACTGTACATGCTCTCCTCCTCTCACCTTTTCCCTTTGTTTGTGGACTTCAGTGCACAACACATCAGCTGTCTGTGACAAAGTGAGAGAACCTTTCCAAGCCAAACCTTCATATCATTACCGCTAACCGCTACATACAGCTTACATCGTTGTCACCATATTAGCTAATGTCATAGCTAGTCAACATAGCTACTAGAACTAACGTGTTAGTTAACCTGCTACAATCATGTAGTACAGTACAAGTAGTTTAGCAGTTACACCGGTGGCAATAAATAAATTAAATTAAACCAAAAGCTTACCTTGACTTGGAAGAGTTCCAGTGTTGGATTGCCATAGCCAGCTAGCTAACATCGCATTCCTCTCTGTTTGAGCCTGGTGTTTGAGTAGACTAAACTAGCTAGCTGCATTCGCTAGCTAAGTGAAAGTGAACAAAAAAAATACAACGATATATAGCTAGTTCTATCGCTCTCTCGCTTCTCCTTCATTTTTAAAGAAATGTATTTGTTGAAAACTGTTAAACTATTGTCTTTATCTCTCTTTGAGTGAACCACTCACCACATTTTATGCACTGCAGTGTATTCGGTGCATGTGACAAATAAAGTTTGATTTGATTTGATTTGATAAGTTGGAGGACGTCCTGTCGAAGTTGTCATAATTACTGTGTAAGGCTACTGTGTAAGGTTATGGAAGGGGGTGAGAACCATGAGCCTCCTAGGTTTTGTATTGAAGTCAATGCACCCAGAGAATGATGGAAACTAGCTGTCCTCCGGCTACACCATGGTGCTACCCTATAGAGTGCTGTTGAGGCTACTGTAGACCTTCATTGCAAAACAGTGTGTTTTAATCAATTATTTAGTGACGTGAATATATTTAGTATAATTTTATCTAGAAGGGATAACTTTAATATTTTGCTTTTTTAATTTTTTAATTTTTATGAAATTCACTGAGGAGGATGGTCCTCCCCTTCCTCCTCTGAGGAGCCTCCACTGAAATTCACTGTCTCATGATGATGTCCACCAGGCTGCTGTCTTGCTGCCATCATCAGGTTTATAGCCTACCAAGCAATGTCTTCAACTGTAAGCGAATTGGTCCCTCAATAGTTTTATTCATACTTGCCTCTCCACCCCTTTTGACAACGATTAACATTTCACATTGCAATGCCTCTTTTAAGAACTTCCAGAGAAAACTCAAAGCTGCCAAATGAAATCCACTGAGCCCTCAAAACCACATAGACCCATTTAGTTTATGAAGCCATAGGTCTACGAATGGATCCCAAAATAAGCCTTCCATCTGGCCCCTTGGACCAAAGCAGCTGCAGTGTGATACATAAAGCTTGTGTTTTTGTAACAGGTGTGAGTATTTGCCCCTGTTAATTCAGCAAGCGTTTCCATTGGACAATTAACTAATCAATTGATCTAAGTGATGTGTATTTAAACCACTTTTTGTGTTTAATGCGGCTGCCCACAGGAAGTGATGTAGCCCGGAGGCATGGTGGAGTCAGTATGCAAATTGAGTTTCTACTGAGATTAATAAAGATGTATTTTTATTTTTATCCCTGCCTCCTGGGCAGCACCACCTCCTGTGCCCTTTTGTGTTTGGTTTGTTTGATTTTGGTTTGGTTGTTTTATTTGTTTGTGTTATTGATATTTTAAACTTGCATTGGCTGTACAGGGTTGAAGCTGTGCCCTATTAAATATGTTATTTGTTTGAAACTGTTGTCTGCCTCTACAGCTACGTTTTCACAGGCAGCCCAATTCTGATCTTTTTTCACTTTTGGTCTTTTGACCAATCAGATCAGCTCTGAAAAGACTAGTTCCAATTAGTGGAAAAAATATTAGAATTGGACTGCCTGTGTAAATGTAATGAGTATTAATATTGTCTTCTATTTTACCTAAATCCATTAATTTTTTTCTTCCATAACCATGGAGTGTGAGAATATTGAATGCTCTGTGGTGTATTGCTCTGGCCTGCAGTACAGTCAAGTCCTAGCTCAGTGGTCAAGTCAGCATCGGTCAGGGTTGCCTCCCGAGTGGCGCAGTGGTCTAAGGCACTGCATCGCAGTGCTAGCTGTGCCACTAGAGATCCTGGTTCGAATCCAGGCTCTGCTGTAGCCGGCCGCAACCGGGAGACCAATGGGGCGGCGCACAATTGGCCCAGCGTCGTCCAGGGTAGGGGAGGGAATGGCAGGCACGGAGGTAGCTCAGTTGATAGAGCATGGCGTTTGCAACGCCAGGGTTGTGGGTTCGTTTCCCACGGGGGGCCAGTATGAAAATAATAATGTGTGCACTAACTGTAAGTCGCTCTGGATAAGAGCGTCAGCTAAATGACGTAAATGTAAATGTTGCCATGTCCACGATTTTGAAGCCAAATTGAGCTACTTACAAAACTATGTCGGGTAAAAATGTAATGGTTGTGGGGTTTTGGGCTACTTCTAAATTGCACCGGGGCCGCTATGGCATTTGTCTTTTTAAAATAAATCTGGGTATTTCACTGTGACCTGCTACTGCTGACTATCAGGCAGTGAGGCAGGCTGTGGCTGAGTGACTGAGTGAGGGGGAGGGCCAGGGGTGTGTGTGTTGAGCAGTCATTGGCAATGTTACCAACATTTGTTTTTGGCACTGAGCAAATTTCAGGTCTGCTGAGCACAACTTG